GAGACAACAGATGTTGACGAACAAGTGCGTCTTTTAAATGCCTTTCTAATGCAACTATATGATAAGCATGCACCTTTACGACCAATCAAACTTAAGTATCCGCCGGCTCCTTGGCTCACAAAAGAGATTAAAGATTTAATGACAAGAAGAAACCTAGCCAAAGCCAAATTTAATAAGGACGCCTGTAATATAAATCGTGAGAAATACAGGATACTTAGGAATCGCTGCAACACGATGTGTAGAGATGCGCAACGACGTCACATTCACAAGACAATTGAGGAATCTGATCCCAATAGGGTTTGGAAATTTCTTAAAAGTTTGGGAATTGGCAAAAAGCGAAATGACTCCCTTCCTCCTGATTTAAACTTTGAAATGCTTAATCAATACTTTTCCTCAAGTTCTAGTTACGTAAACAGTTGTAAATCTAGGACACTAAATCACCTTCATTCTTTGCCAACTCCCGATTTCCCCGAATTCGTTTTATCTCAGGTTGCTGATTGTGACGTTAAAAAGAATATCACAGCTGTAACTTCTAATGCAATTGGTAATGATAATGTCAGCCGAAACATGATTCTCCCGCTTTTAGATCTCTTAACTCCTATCATAACTAAAATTTTCAACAATTCTATAAATACAGGAACTTTTCCTACTCTATGGAAAGATGCTCAAATTATTCCACTACCCAAGAAATCAAATCCCAAGTCCTTCTGTGATTATCGTCCTATTTCCATATTACCTTTTCTTTCTAAAATTCTTGAGCGTCTTGTCCAACAGCAACTTAATCTATTTCTTAATCAAAATAACCTCTTAAATACATTCCAATCAGGTTTTCGTCCTGGCCATAGCACGGTCACTGTTTTGGTTAAAATCACAGACGACATTCGGGCAGGAATGGAGAATCGGCAAGTTACTATTCTTACTCTTCTTGATTTCAGCAACGCCTTCAACACAGTCGATTTCGATATACTTCTAGCTGTGCTCCGTTCTATTAACGTATCTCCAGCGGCAACTGACTGGTTTCGTAGTTACTTGTTTGGACGCCGTCAATGCATCCGTATTGAAGACACTTATTCCTCGTGGTGTTCTCTGGATGCAGGCGTACCACAAGGTGGCGTGTTGTCTCCTCTCCTCTTTTCAATTGTCATACGCTCTATCACTTCAGGAATAACTTCTCTCTACCATCTTTATGCAGACGATCTCCAAATATATTCTCAAACAAGTATCAATAATCTTCCATCTGCCGTGCTATCCACAAACCGTGATCTCGCTATTATTTCAGAATTTTGCAGATCTTATGGAATTAAGGTTAACCCTAGTAAAACGCAGGTAATAGTGATAGGTAGCAACAAACTACTACAAAAAATTACTTGGCATACGCTGCCTTTCGTTTGTTTTGAAAATTCTGCTATTCCTTACAGTAAGGTTGTAAAAAATCTAGGGGTTCTAATTGACAGTACAATGTCTTGGGCACCACAAATTGAACAAATAAGTAAGAAAATGTTTGCAGCTTGTGGAAGTCTCAAAAGACTTCGAAATTTCTTACCCATTTCTACCAAAATTGCGTTAGCACATTCCATTTTGTTGCCTATTTTAGACTATGCTGATATATGCTACACTGATATTACCATGGAGCAATTAAACAAGCTTGAGCGCCTTCAAAATCTTTCCATTCGGTTCATATTTGGCTTACGCAAATATGACCATGTATCCCAATTTCGAAATCAACTCAAGTGGCTCCCAGTTCACCTTCGCCGGAATGTTCATTTACTTTCTTTACTTTTTTGTGTTCTGTTTGATCCGAAATCTCCAAGGTACCTTAAGGAACAATTTCACTATCGATATGAATTTCATGATCGTAGTTTGCGTTCAGTGTATAGCTTGGCTTTGAACACTCCTTACAGCGTAACTTCTTTTTATAATAAGTCATTTACTTAACAAGCAACCAGACTCTGGAATTCATTACCACTTAACATCCAGCAAACGCAGTCTTTACAGACTTTTGAAAAACAACTGAAGGAGTATTACTTGAATTACCCGTCATAATTATAAATTATATGCATTTCCTCTTTTTATAAATACTTGTTTTTTTTTTCTTTCTATTTGCTTAATTTTCTCTGCATATATATATATATATATATATATATATATATATATATATATATATATATATATATATATATATATGTATATATATGTATGTGTGTATATATATGTATATATTTATCTATATGTATGTATATATGTATATATTTATTTATTTATGTTTATTAATTTTATAATATTATATATTCTATAATTCATATATTTATATAAATCGTGTTTAATTATAAGTTTTTGTCCTCAGTTTCATTTTATATTGCACGTTGCACCTATCCGTCAAAATATATTACATTGTTCCCTATTACGTTCGGTTTGTCAGGTAGAAATCGCTTAAAGCGATATGACCACCGTTTGTAGTTCTTAAGTTATTCCGTAATTGTAACACTTTGTATAAATGCAATAAAGAGTTATCTATCTATCTATCTATCTACGTTTTCATGCTAATGTACTGGAAATGATGCGGTATTAACATCAATAGCGAATACGTCAATCACCTTCGATTTACCGACAATATAGTCCTTATTGCAGAATCGCTGAAGGACCTAAGCACGATGCTCGATGACCTCAATAGTGTCTCCCAACGGATAGGTCTTAAGGTAAACATGGACAAAACAAAGATCATGTGTATCGTCCAATTCACACCTATGTCGGTAGTTTTTGGGAGCACTACGTGGTGCACGAAGTGGAGGGCGAAGTGTAAGGCGACCCCTACAAGATGGAGTAACCACCTTGTAAGAGATGCAGGAAGTCGATAGATACAGGTAACTCGGGACCGTGTTTGTGGCGCTCCTTGGGGAGGCCTATGCTCAGCAGTGGTCTTGTAAAGAGCTGTAATGAATGAATGAATGAAAGAATGAAAATAATGAAGTGACAGACGAACTTACGTCCATCTGATGGCCATTGGCTACTATAGTCAGTGGACAGCTAAAACCAACTTCAAATGAAGAAGGCTAAAAATGCGTTATCACCTCTGAGGATTGAGCTGGAATGCTTTACAGCATTTTCAAAACTAGCTCACGACCGCTGCAATGGAAGACGTTTTTAAGCTACTGGACTGTAAAGGATGCGGTATTAACATCAATGGAAGTACATCACTCACCTTCGATTTTCCGACGATATAGTCCTTATGGCAGAATCGCTGGAGGACCTAAGCACTATGCTCAATGACCTCAATAGTGTCTCCCAACGGATAGGTCTTAAGATGAACATGGACCAAAAAAATTATGTTTAATGTCCATGTCACACCTATGCCGGTTGTTGTTGGGAGCACTAAGCTCGAAGTTGTTGACGAGTATGTTTACCTGGGACAAATAGTCCGACTAGGTAAGTTCAACTTCGACCGAGAGTTCTATTAACGGATTTAACTCGGCTGGGCAGCGTTCGGGAAACTACGACACATCTTCTCGTTAGACATAACTCAAAACCTGAAAACGAAATTGTACAACCAGTGCGTTTTGCCAGTGATGACTTACGGATCTGAGACGTGGTCCTTCACTGCTGGCCGTATGCTCAAGGTCGCTCAGCGAGCTATGGAGAGGGCTATGCTCGGGGTTTCTCTGCGTGATAAACTAAGAAATGAAGATATCCGCTGTAGAACCAGAGTAACCGACATAGCCCAACGGATTAGTAAGCTGAAGTGGCAGTGGGGCGGCCATATAGCTCGAAGAACCAACAACCGATGGGGAAGAAAGGTTCTCGAGTTGCAGCCTCGTACCGGTAGGCGAAGTGTAGGGCGACTTGTGAAAGGCTGTAATGATGATGATGATGAATTTATTGTGTGTGGCATGTTTGTAGTAAATGTTTCTTTCTTTCTTTTTATTTCTTTCAACAGTGAAGGTCTCTGATCTGATGTGTTGTGGCATAGTTGTTTTCTATTTTGAGTAACAATGTCTAAGGCAGATTTGTTTTTCGAGAGTATATATGTATGTTTGTTATATGAATTGTTTATTTCTTTCGCACGCTCTGTAGTCTAAGCGGCTTGATGGATTTTAACATATGAAGTGTCGTTAGATTCGTTTTAACTGGGGAGTAACATAGGCTATATAATATTTATATACTTCATCTCCAAATACAAAAGAGGGAGGGGACGTTTTTTTTTAGAAAACTTTTTAACGCAGTCGGATTTTTTAAATTACTGTTTCAACCATTAAACTTGTTTCTTCTACTCATCATTTTGCTACGTGGCAAAAAAGAAGAAAAAAAAAAGAGAACTATACTATACTTCTATTTTGTATAAAGAATTTTTTTTCTAGTTTTGCCAATGTATGATTTTCTCTTTGTGGTTTTTATGTTATTATGTTTACGTTTTTTTTTCTTGATTCTATAATGTACCAATATATAAACAATAATTATTTTCTTATACAAGTAAGGGAGACAATCGAGTAAACAGTCGAGTAAAAAAGAATCACCAAAATTGGTTCACAATCTGCGAGGATATCGCGTAACATACATACTAAAAAATACATTTAAATTGAGAACCTCCTCCTTATTGAAGTCGGTTAAAAATTCGGATCCTTTTATCACTCTTGACGACTAATATAGAATGCCTTACAGGTAAAAGGATTTCTGGTTTCGCCGTGGAAAGAAAAGGGGAGATCTCCCGCCGGGCAAGGTGTCCTGCCTACGCTCCGTGTGTTATTTCGGAACTGTTCTATATATACTCGCTGTACTTCGCTGTAGCGCTGCTACACTAGTTCTTGTAAACTACTACACTAACCATTCAAAACACAACAACCTTTTTCTGCCATTTTACGATGGTTTTTACTTTTCAGTGATAGCGTGATCCTTTCTCGATCGAGCCGACACATTTGACTGTAGTCATAATATAGCTTTACGGCTGTTCTATAAAAATCGAAATAAGAAGAAACCATTTTAAAATAAATTTGTTTCCATTGTTTTAGGCGATAGAGCTCGCTCCAGAAGAAAAAGCAGCTTATGTAGCGCGCAGCAAGTGCTACTTGCTCCTGGGGGAACCACAGTCAGCATTAACTGACGCGGAGACGGCTCTAAAGCTGGACCCAAAACACGCGAAGGCTTTACTGCAGAAGGCCGAGGCACTGTACTACTGCGGCGAGTTTGAGATGAGCCTCGTGCATTACCATCGTGGTCTAAGATCAAGGCCAGACTTGAGCGACTTTAGACTTGGGGTGCAAAAGGCACAGGTTGTTACCGTTTGTCAGTTTATGAATAAATATTAGAAACGCTTTGATATAAGCTTATATTGGTAATTGTAATAAAATAACACAATATTAATGCATTATTTATCTTCAGGAGGCAATTGAGAACACTATAGGGGCAGTAAAGACTGTCAAAAAGGCAAAGAAACGCGTCAGCCCTAAATCGTCGAGGCCAGCATTGGGACAACTGATGTCGGATAAGATCTACCTCGAGAATCTTCTTAAGAACCCAGACCTTGCTATTGCAGATAAAAAGAACGACGTTGTGATGAAACAGGCCGAAGAAGCTATAAGATTCTTGGAAAATAGAGAAGAATTCTGGAGACAGCAGCAAACAGCAAAAAAACATTAATTATTTGAAGAATAAAGTAGCTTTAAATATTTTAAAATTAGATTAAGTATAAATCATGATTTCTTAAGTTCAAATATATATGTAGTCGTATGTTTAATATGTTTATTTAGTATGTAAGATATAATAAAACTATCGAGTTCTTGATTTTTTTTTTATAGAAGATGGGGCAAACGAGCATGCGCTCACCTGATGGCAAGTGACTACCGCCGACCATGAACAACCGCAACACCAGGGGAATTGCAGATGCGTTGCTGGCCTTTTAGAAAGGTGTAAGCTCTTTTCTTGAAGGTTCCTAAGTCTTATCGGTCCAGAAAATTCGCTGGTGGTAATTGATTCCACAAGGAAGTTGTGCGAGGGAGAGAACTTTTTCTAAATCGCACAGTGGTGGACCGCCAATCATCCAGATGGTATGGATGGTAACGCGAGTTTTGTCGCGATGTGCGATGGTGAAATTGAGCGGCTGGAATTAGTCCGAACAATTCCTCACAGCACTCCCCGTGATAGATGCGATAAAATACGCAAAGAGATGCAACATCTCTACGCAGTGCCAGTGTATCGAGCCGATCAGAAAGAACTCGGTCGTCGACGATTCGAACCGCTCTGCGCTGGATGCGGTCAAGTGGAAGGAGCTGGCACTGGGGTGCCCCGGCCCAGAGATGAAAACAGTATTCCATGTGGGGCCGAACTTGCGCTTTGTAAAGTTGCAAGCGATGTGCCGACATGAAATACTGTCTCGCTCTGCTGAGCACGCCAAGCTTTTTAGAGGCCAATTTGGCCTTCCCTTCCAAGTGACCACGAAACTGCACACTATTCGATATGTCGACGCCAAGGATTCCGATACAAGCTGAGGCAGCAAGGGGTTCTTTTTAGCGGTAAACGCGCAAACTTGTGTCTTCTGAGGATTAAACTGGACTAGATTTAGTCGCCCCCAATCCGAGACTTTGTTCAGCAAAGACTCGACTTCAGACACAAGTTTGTTCCGGTACTCGGCGACGTTTTTCCGAGAAATATTGGCACGGCCTGTGTATAAGGCATCACCAGTGCTGTCATCCGCATAGCAATGAATGTTACCAGTTAGCAACATATCATTGATATGCAGAAGAAAAAGCGTTGGTGATAGCCCACAGCCTTGTGAAACACCAGCATTAATAAGCTTGTAGTCGGAGTATGCATCGTCTACTACGACCTTGATGCTCCGATCAGCAAGAAAACTGGTGATCCATTTGCAAAAATTCTCGGGAAGCCCATAGGAAGGAAGCTTCGAAAGAAGCGCTTTGTGCCAGACCCGATCGAAGGCCTTTGCTATGTCCAAACTAACGGCCAATGCCTCCCCCTTGGACTCTACTGCCTCCGCCCATATATATGAGTCATCGACCTCGACGAAAACCGTACTGGCGGTCACTAATCAACTGGTGATCCTCAAGGTACCTCATGCGCTGGCGGTTTATAATGGATTCCATTATTTTGGAGAACAAGGAGGTGATGGCAATAGGCCTGTAGTTGGACGGGTCTGAGCGGTCACCTTTTTTAGGGACCGGGTGGATCAAAGCTGTCTTCCCTGAATTCGGAACTACGCCTTGGGAGTAGGAGTACCGGAAAAGACGCGTTAAAACCGGTGCCAACTCCGGAGCACACGTCTTCAGCACATTGGGAGGGACTCCATCGGGCCCACTCGACTTGCTGACGTCCAGGGAGAAGAGTGCTTTGCGAACCGAGCGCTGTGTGTAAACCGCACATCCGGCATGGACCACTCACATCGCGGGATGGTCGGCGGTGTGTTCCCCCCGTCATCTAGAGTCGAGTTGGACGGAAAAAGAGAGCTCAACAGATCGGCTTTCTCCTTTGCGACATGGGCCAGTGAGTCGTCCTCTCTGTGCAGAGATGGAAGAGATGGCTGACAGAAGTTGATACAAGTACTTTATTACGATATTATGCATCTTAGCTATACTATTTGCAAAGGGTAAATGATATCGAGATTTAGAAGTACAACAATTTTTTAGCAGTACCATCTAATGTCAAAACATTGTGTTAATAAAACATTTGTATAATATAATTGTGTATAAATAGTTTAGCAGTGCAATCTAGTATCAAAAATATAATTGAGTTGAACATTCCGCCCACCAAGAACGTAAAAACTTTCTTTCCATTCCGCCCACCATGACATAACTGGGCATTAGTCTTAATTTACATATGTATAGGTTTCTGAGGAATAAAAAAACTTACTTAATCTAATTTAAGCACTAGCTATTGCAACTATGAGATAAATAATGATTATTGCGTAACCGGAAAAATACATAATTTTGAAGTTGGTCTTTTTAAGAGAGATTGACTACACTTCAAATTCACAACGCGAGTGACTTGGGTGGTTACTCTTCTGGCTGGAGGAAGATTGTCCTTCTTAATTAAAACTATGTCTCCAATTTCAGGCTCCGGTATTACCTTTGACCATTTACGTTAGCCAAAAGTCCTGCACCATTTGCCAGCGTCTCACTGTACTGATGTTACTCTGCTTATAATTTCGTTCTGGTACGATTAGCAGTGCTTCGTCAAGGAGTAAATGTTCTGGTGTTAGAGGCGCGGTATCACTGTGATTATCTGGTAATATGGACAAAGGCCTTAATAATAATAATAAACCGTTCCGTCTTCACCGTTCTAACGCTTCAACTTGCGTTAGAACGGTGGTTATCTCTTCATATGTCATTGTGGAAACGCCAATGACTTGTTTTAAATGAAATTTCATAGTTTTTACGCCTGCTTCCCATAACCCGCCAAAGTTTAGCGCATGGGCAGGAATAAAATTCCATGAAACACTATTGTTGCTTAACCACTTACCAATTTCAAAAGCAACTGATGACTGTTCAGCGGTGACGGGTGTGTGCGGCCGACCCGTTCGGAATTCCGAAACGGAATCTCGAAACGGAATCCCGTATGTATGTGGCCCGCCTCGGAATTCCGTATGTATGTGCCGGGCCTAAGTAACCATGTAAAGTCCGCCATGACGTAGGAAGGGGAAAATATGCAAAATAATATGGACACTCGTGCGCAGCGATAAAGTTTTATTTCGCTCGCGTGAGCGATATATCTAATAATAATAATAATGTAGGCTATTAAAACGTTGGCAAGCTGTCAACATCAAAAGAGTGCAACTTCTCTACGTAGTATTATTATTTATTCTGTGGTAGTGCGCGTGGATTATTGCGTATGCATAGACTTAATATATAAGCGTGCCCTCTTGTGAGATTATAGTACTCGTAAGTCTATCCTAGCGTTTTGGAATGTAGATGGAAGCACAAAAAATATCATTTAACTCATGAATAATGTTCTAAGTTGCATGACCATGAACTTAGAATAACTATTCTAAATAGATTAAACGGGGAACCTATGCCCATTTTATGTAACTTCTTTTATTCTCCTAAACACTTGTAAAATTTTGTAAACAAAAAACTTTGCTTTAGATGTATTCTACCAAAATATTGTTGTCAGCCCTTAAAGTCTATGTTAGAAAAGGCTTATAAAAATTATAAAAAATACACACTTAAAACTGCACACGTTCGATCGGCCCATAATCCAGCAGATCTCGTTTCCAGAGGCTTTTTTTATAGGATAAGGTGACAAACGAGCACACAGTCCACCTAATAGTAAGTAGTTGCTGTGACCCATATACATCTACATCTCCTCAATAAAGAATCAAAATGCAGATTCGTTGTCACCCGTGAGGACTAGATGGAATGCCTCTTTTCCAGTAAAAAGGGTCTCCGGTTCTCTACACTCACCATACAAAACACAGCAGTGTTAAGCTGCTATTTTATATTCTGAAAAATTGAAACCGGTAAGTAACTTTCTTGATGTTAAGGTAATGAGAGTAGGAAATAGAATTCAGAATGCTAATCTTCCTACAGATACTAAGCATCCTATTATTCTTCCTCATAAGAGTCACTTTACCAATTTAGTTATTGATGAGACCCACCGAAATACATTACACGGAGGCCCAACACTCATGCTGAACTATTTGCTCAAAAGATATTGGATTATATCGGCAAAATGTCCAGTTAAAATGCATGTGCGTAATTGTGTAGTGTGTGTTCACAAAGCGGCAGTGACAAAAATTAGTTTATGGTTCAATTACCATACAGCAGAGTATTGCCAGCTAGACCATTTCTTCACAGTGGTGTGGATTTTGATGGTAAATGTTTTATTAACACAATGTTTTGACATTAGATGGTACTGCTAAAAAATTGTTGTACTTCTAAATCTCGATATCATTTACCCTTTGCAAATAGTATAGCTAAGATGCATAATATCGTAATAAAGTACTTGTATCAACTTCTGTCAGCCATCTCTTCCATCTCTGCACAGAGAGGACGACTGACTGGCCCATGCCGCAAAGGAGAAAGCCGATCTGTTGAGTTCTCTTTTTGCGTCCAACTCGACTCTAGATGACGGGGGGAACACACCGCCGACCATCCCGCGATGTAAGTGGTCCATGCCGGATGTGCGGTTTACACACAGCGCTCGGTTCCCAAAGCACTCTTCTCCCTGGACGTCAGCAAGTCGAGTGGGCCCGATGGAGTCCCTCCCATTATGCTGAAGACGTGTGCTCCGGAGTTGGCACCGGTTTTAACGCGTCTTTTCTCCGGTACTCCTACTCCCCAGGGCGTAGACCCGAATTCATGGAAGACAGCTTTGGTCCACCCGATCCCTAAAAAAGGCGACCGCTCAGTCCCGTTACAGGCCCGCTACAGGCCTATCGCCATCACCTCCTTGTTCTCCAAAATAATGGAATCCATTATGAACCGCCAGCTCATGAGGTACCTTGAGGATCACCAGCTGATTAGTGACCGCCAGTACGGTTTTCGTCGGGGTCGATCGTCTGGTGATCTTCTGGTCTACTTGACTCATAGATGGGCGGAGGCAGTAGAGTCCAAGGGGGAGGCATTGGCCGTTAGTTTGGACATAGCGAAGGCCTTCGATCGGGTCTGGCACAAAGCGCTTCTTTCGAA